TGTGTAGCCGTCTGAACTCTCCGGTTAACTCATCCTTCTTCGGTCCGAATATTCTACGCAATACTTTATTTTCAAAAACCTTAAGACGCTGCTCATCCCTTAATGTAAGTGGCCAAGTTTCGCATCCATAAAGAACTGTAGGCAAGATAATTGTTTTATAGATTCTAATTTTTAAGTTCCGGGACAAGAGGCGCGAACTAAGTAGTTTTGTCACAGAAAAATAACAAGCATTTCCCGCCTTCAGTCTAACTTTAATCTCTTCTTCAATTTCGTTTTTTCTAGTTATCGTTGAACCTAGATACCTAAACTTATCTACCTGTTCAAACATATTACCATCTATATCGATGTCACCAGTAGTATCGCCATTTTTGCAGCTAACCATATATTTTGTTTTATCCACGTTTATTTCGAGTCCTAGTTCTTTCCCGGCTTTCATTAACGTTGTCGTATTTAGTTTTATAGTTTCAACGTCTTCGCTTAACAGTACCAGATCATCAGCATAGCCCAGCACGGATGTTGTCCCGCCCAGATCTAACCCTTTCTCGGTTCGCATTACCTCCCTAATGGCATGTTCTAATGCCAAATTGAACAGGACAGGCGAAAGTGAATCCCCCTGTTTTAAGCCAGAACGAACCTCAAATTTTTCGGACAAATTATTACCGATTCTAACTTTATTGAGTGTCTCCGTCAAGCACATCCTGACTAGATTTACTAGTTTTTTTGGAAGCCCCTGCTCAATTAGAATATTATACAGTTTCTGGCGGTCAATAGAATCGTAAGCCTTTTTAAAATCTATATACAGCTGGTGAACAATACCTTTGTACTCCAATTTTTTCTCTAATATTTGCCGTAAAGAAAATATTTGATCAATAGTCGAACGATTCCGTCTAAATCCGCATTGGTAGTCTCCAATAATTTCCTCGGCGTATTCCGTAATTCGACTGGTTAAGATTGAAGTGAATATTTTATAACATACCGGAAGGAGTGAAATTCCTCGATAGTTATTACAATCCGTCCTCGGACCCTTTTTGTGAATCGGAATAAGAATAGATTCTTTCCATTCTTCAGGTAATTTCTCGTTCACCCAGATCTTTTTAACCAACCGATGTATTTTAGAAACTCCAGCTTCCCCGCATGCCTTAATTAGTTCAGTAGGAATATTATCGATTCCCGCTGCTTTATATGATTTTAATTTTCCGATAGCTACTTCAACTTCCTCTTTACTTGGTCCTTCTATTAACGGTTCAGCACTCTGGTACTCAGAAGGAGGACACAGATCATAATTTCCCGTTTTTAAAATATTGTCAAAGTGGTCCTTATATAATTTATATAAATATACACTAAATAATTAATATTTAGTTTATAAATTCTTGAATTATTTCTAACATGTTTATTACAAAAGGAAATCAGTTTAGCTTCCTCAACATTTCTGTTGAGTACATAAAAATTTGTCCAGCTCGGGCTAAAAAAACATTTAAGTTTATAATATTGATTATGATATGGACCAAATTCTAAAGTCAATGACAAACTAGATCATGAAATTTCTTTGGTATAAATTTACTTTTCATAAAGAAATATTAGAAAAATATTATGTGTGTAAGGAAAATTGGAATTGGAAAAAAACTAAATAAATGGAAAAAAAATAAATGGATAAAAACTAATCCTCAACTTTCTTTCAACTTGGTGATGAATTAGGGTCGTTTTTGAACTATAGTAGTGATATTAAAAATAAGTTTGTATAAGCATACGTTATAAGTGAAGTTTGATTAAATTTAAAAGGGACCATATACGTACAACCCTTCACGGTCCCTGATAATTTCTTAATAGTCATATTAACGGTAGTATCTATTTTCCTGTCATTGGGATTTTATTCGTGGCAGGCGGCTACAGAACCAAATTGGTTGTTTGATGTTAAAAGAATTTTTTAGTTGTTCTTCCTGAACGTAAAACTTCATATTTCTGAAAATATATTTTTTTTTTCAGGTCGTATGTAAATAAAAAGCTTTTCTACCTTCCGTTTTAAGGAAGCAAAACAAAAACATATATTGGTAATGGATTTTGATAACTAAAAACCTCTAGTCAATTTTTTCCTTGTGAGAATTGTTGAACACAATATTTTTGTGGAAACTATGTGTAGTGTGTTAAATTTAATTTTGTGAATTTTTATGGGTATCACTAGAAAGCTAATTTTCCTCTTATTCTTTGTGTCTAATGGGTTAAGTTATGCGTCAAGTACAGAGATCCTTCCTTTGTAAGTCATGGGTTGAAACTCGAACATTGAACTAGCACCTGTAAAATTCCAAACTTTCAATGGCACTTTTCCGAAAATATATTTGCACTTCCCTATATATTGCACATCCCTATGCACAGATGCTACAGATTTTATTGAGAAAAAAATACTTAATGCCAAGTGAATATCATTTACAATAACAATCAATTATTGTTTACAATTACAATCATTTACAATTTTCTATCTAACTACTCCATTCTCAATGCTTTAATTTTACTATTTATTTTCATTTCTTATATAACTTCGTATTTCTTTTTTATGTTTTACATTTTATTCTAAGATTCCCATTGTAACACTTATGTCACCCTTTTTGATTATGCCTACTTCATCATTCCACACTTTGTAACGGTTATTATTATTTATCTCTTAGTTCTTAGTCATTATTCTAACAATTTCATTTTACTTTATATTTATTTATTTTATTTTTTTAATTTTAATTTTTATTTTTATTTTTTATTTATTTTTTTTTATTTTTTTACCATCTCTACTTATGTTTCTCATACCTTGTTATCTGGTTATTTTCTTAGCCCTGATGAAGGCCTGAACTTCAGGTCGAAACGTCGGCATATGTAAAAATAAATATTATCATTTATTTTTGCCTTCCTTTTTGACTGACCACCCCAACTATTCTTCTCTTCATTATAAAGAATAATCATATAGTAGTAAAACAATATTGAATGTTATTATAGGAAAGTTTCAAAGTCTTTCCTGTATTTCAAGCTATCAATTCAGCAAATAATATTTTTTATAATAATGGCGTTATGGCATGGTGACAATGCTTTAAATAAATAATTACTTAAATGCGCAATAGAAATACTCTGAGTTTTGTCATCAGTATTACGGACTATTTTTTATGTGATTTGAATATCTTAATCATTGGCTGGCTTAGAATAGATTAACGATGAATTAACCCTATTTCCTTGATATTAGGGTGAACAATTCTAGTTTTGGTTTAGTGCAGAAGTGAGCACATTTTTTTTTTACAACAGATCAACTAAAAATTTAATTCAAAATTAGTATTAAAAACACGGTGATTAACTATTAATCAGTATATATTCTCAGATATAGACGATAAACTAACTCACACACAAACTTCTGACTAATCATTTAATTTCGATAGGTGATCGCTTTTAATTATATATATTTCAGAAAATAATATTTCTCAAACATAGATATTTCCAAAGTCATAATTTGCTTTTCATGTGCATCTAATCTTTGAAAAGTTTCTAAATACATGTAATTTTGATATAAATTATCTACCTGAACGTTTTGAATTTTATTTCGTATATCCGTGTCGTTTTTCAAATCTATAAATTTAATTTATATTCTGTCCATTACTATTTCTAAGTCTATATTAAATAGTGAAGAAAACAATCTTAAAACTAATGGTTATAAATGTTTTAAATCATGATTTGTATTCCGTTATTCTTTTTTGTAATTATTTGAAATATCTTCTACTTTATTATTTAAAAGCCGAAATATAAAACATTTGAAGAGAAAAACGTGGAAGTATTTTTATATGCTTTTCGTTTACAATATAATAATTAGCAAAGTTAGAATTAAAATAATAAAACTTGTAATGTAATATAATAACTGATAATAATAATAAAAATTATGAAAACATCGTTCCCACAAGGAAATCACTTTGAACAGTTTCAAATATATGTAATATATCTGCACTTTGGATGTATTAATCAACCAGATCAGACCTGCAGTTTTTATTATTATTACTTATTATTATTATTACTATTGTTATCACCGTGTCGTATTGAACAAAACGTAGGCAAAGTCATATTACTAATACAGTCATCATAGTCGACCGAAATTGGTTTCCGTATCGCTCAAACTTTATAAGAATAAATGAATAATTTTCTTGATTGGTCTTTATCGTAAAGGAATAGAAATGAATGTATTTAATAACTTTTTTTTGCAAATTATTCCGTACTGCAACGTATTAAAAAATAAAAACATAAATAACTTCTTAAATTTAGAATCATATTTCTTCGTTTATTTTATTAATCATTTAATAAAAAATAATTAGGAATCATTATTTAATATATATATATATATAAATATATATATATATATATATATATATATATATATATATATATATATATATATATATATATATATATATATATATATCATTTTTTTTCCCCGATAAATGTCTTTTAGCTCCTCAGATTCCACTGCTGCTGTTTATTCATTTTAATTTTTCTTCTTTTCAGATTAATATCTAAATTTTATTTTGAAATCTTCATGTTTTTTTTTGTTTTTGTTTTTTTTTATTTGTAATTTCTTTTGTGGAACATAACGATAGTTTTGCTATCGGCTATTTTTTTTTCTGTGAAAAGTGTATCTAAGAAACATTGAAAAAATAATTAAACATGGATTGAATCAATCTTAAATTTCAATTAATTTTTACGAATATGATTAACATATAAATGTCATAATAATAAACCAGCTACATTAAGACACATTTCTGTTAATTGGTGTCCAATGATTGAAATTAATATTAATAGTAATTAACATTTTCTTCTCGCTGATCAGAGGTACCTTAGTATTTATTAGTCCGGATTAGCGAGTTTTCCGTGCATTTTGCAAAATATTGAATTTTTTTGCATATTCATATATATTTTTTAAATCTAGGCTCCACCTAAGAAATCGTGCAAATGCTTAGAGAAATTAAAACATTTCAAAGACTCACATTCAAAAAGCAGCTTATCGGGAAACGATATCCATTGACAGAGTTTTACACCGTCCAAACGCTTCGGTGGTCACTGGCTGAATGCCGGCTGGGCAGGTGAGGTGGGGGCAATGTTTACTTGCTTTGTGGTTACCTTGCTGGGAGGGACTTACGCTATCGACGAGTGAGCAACCAATACACATTACCAGCTCATTTAAGAAATCCTTGTGTATGTAACAATCTCCGAATCCCGAATTGAATTCTTATTTTAATTCCTGTCGATGTAATTATATATATTCGAACTTAAGTGTTTTGTGTACTGGAATGAGCAATTATGTTGACTATCATTGAAGTTTGGTGTATTTTAGATATTTTTTATTCTCTAGGCTTTAGAACCGAGACATCTAGGAACTTCGTTGTATTTGTGGATTCGAAATACTGGCCGTAATCAGTAAAAAAGATTGGTCATCTTTAGAGTTACACTTGCTTGTCGACGACTTCCCAAGAGCTTCATACAAAAGAGTAAGAATGTCATTATTCAATGGATACCTAATCATTGTGGTACTTCTGGAAACGAGCTGATGCTCCAGCGAAGAAAGGTTTCTCTAGGGTGCTCCAGTCAAATCCACCTGTCCTATACCGATCTGTGAAATTTATGATAAGAACAGTTTTTGAAGGTGGAGCACATGAAAGCCTAAAAGCTAAGATTGCGGTGAATAAATGTGTGTTTCTTATACAAAATTAACTCTCATACGACCTACCGAGAAATGATGCTGTGTCTTGTTACAGAACTCCCACTTGTACCCAGAAGGGATTTCATGGCACAAGTTTTGCCATCAAAATTTTTGAGAGAAGATTATTTGGACGGTTTTTTTAAATTTTTGATGGGGGCAAATTTAAAGGAGGTTATGAATTGTCGGACAAAGTGACAAAGGGAAAGCATAGAACAGAGCGCAGTAAGCGTAATTGTATATGATTTACTATTTGTCTAATACTAACTTAGCTTGCTTTGTTTTTAAGAAAAGGTAAATAATCTTGGGAGGAGGGAAGAGAGTAGGTTGTTGCCAGCCACAACAATTCGATAATCTTCAGTTCGCAACCACCTTAATGTATTTTTTTATGGAGTGATATGGTATTCTCTTTATGTGCAGCACAATGCCATAGCAGAGGATAGGATTAGCGTAGGTACTATTTTATTCTTACCATCATTCGATAATAATGCTTCCAATTTGAGAGGAAGTGCATAACACCGAATACCCGATTACTATGATATATGGTCGCGCCATGACGATGAGGCACAGACCATCACTCCAAGGACAAATCATCTTCCTTTTCTTCCTAGATTGGGGTGTAACATTATCCATGAACATCACCAGTGGCAGCGAAGCGTTCTTCTCTACTTTTAAAACCAGTTTAGAGCTTCCTATAAGCATCCAATAGTATTTCTTGTAATTGAAGTGGAGTCTGTTAAAAAGGGCCCAGATCTGAAGTACTTTAATATCGTTATAGTATTATTTATTTACTTTTTATATTTATAGTTACTTCTGTATTACTTGTATATACTGTATGAATGAGAACTTTTAGCCTTAATACTTATAGCCCTCCAACAGTGGCTGATTGTATTATTATTCAATAAAAAAAAAAATAAAAATAAAAAAAAATATCGTTATCAACCCACTGCATAGTCTGAACCACTTACTCCGGCAATGCCAAAATCCAGATAACTATCATCTGCAAACATGTGGATTTTACAGAATTTCAGAGCATTGGAAATTTTATTTATATGCCAGAAAAAACAACAGTCTAAGAACAAAACCCTGGGGACAACCGAAAAGCATTACAGCCATTCTGAGTAATCGTTTTGATTGCTCATTTGTAGGATCCGGCTAAATAAATATCAGCCACTGTATTTATTGCACTCCTACCTCGAAGCCACCGAATATCTTCAGCAATATTTGATGGTTGACAGAGTCAAACATGTGAGTGTGAGATCCCGTGATACAAATACAGTAACCTTACGTTCCTCCATTACTCTACGCACTTAAGTCAAAGCTGTATGGAGTGCAGTGCATTTACTCCACATGTATATACTCTGAACGCTGACTGGAATGGAAATAGTATTATTTCATACAGTTCACAGAGGGTGAGAGGAGGAAAAAATTTACACAAGCCAAACGTCTTTTATCTTCCGATTCCGACCTGTACTAAGTCTCATGTGTTCAATCACAAATCTCACACATCCTATATCTCATTGTCTTCTGCTTAATCAATGATTTTTCTTGACAGTTGGTTTCTATATAAATATCAACATGACGTGACGTCCTAAGTCTTTCGGTGTTATAATTTCAGATTTGTCAGTCACTCGTTTTTTGTAGTATTCCTTGATATTCAGTATAAGCAGAGAGATACACGATTTATGTGTTGTTAAAATTCTGTTGTAATGTAATTGTGGTTTGTGTATGGTTTATCCGTCTCATGTTATATCATTGTTGCCGGCAAGTATAAAAATCGAATAGTGATTATTCGATGGAAGCATTGGTTTACTTTTTAAGATTCAGATATAGTGAAGTCACAGTATTGTTTGAAATATTCCAGGTTTTCAGAAGTGCCTCACCAGTAATAAGACCAAAATCATAAAAGTTATATATATATATATATATATATATATATATATATATATATATATAATTAATAAATATTAATAATATATATAAATAATTAATAAATATTAATTTTATATATATATATATATATATATATATATATATAATATATATATATATATATATATATATATATATATATATATATATATATATAAATATTTAATAAATATTAATAATATATTTTTTTTTTATTTCCTGAAAATTTGCAATTTCTTATGGAGAAAAACTCTTTCTGATGGTTTGGCTTCATATATAACTTTTATCAAATAATGTCGACAAAATTTAATCATGATAGTAAGCTGCCTATCTTTATTAATTTTTAAGGTTTTCATATTAATTATAAGTAATTTCATTGACCACGATCAGCAGTGTTCCAATTCCAATTGATATTGATACGTAACATGATTTCATAACAGCTTTCTGAACTTTCCGCCGATCTATACCAGTAGATAATATCACCTTAAATAATGGTAGGCGCTGTCACCATGCTGCAGTGAATTCTTCAGGCAATTTCCAACTGAGAAATCATGATTTCTCAACGGATCGAGTCATGATGTCAAGACGCATTTCTGATATGGCATAGTTTCACAATGAGAAAGCAACTGAAGTACCCTGTGTTAAATGGTATCCACAGTACGTGATCACAGATCCTGATTGCGACTTCCTGAAAGCGGTTAACCGAAAAATCTGATATGATTTAGCGATGCTTTAAATCGTAAAGTATCCTTTATGAATTATTAAATTGCTTTCTTCAGCTCTGTATACCTAAGTACTTAGTCAATGACACTGGCGGATCAAAGGGGGTGGGAAGAGGAGGAGAGAGTGGGATGTGAAGGAGAGAGGGGTTTTAGGGCTTCCAAAAATGGAAAAATTATTTTTTTTTCATTGGTCCATATTTGTTAACATGAGTGATCTAAGATAAATACTTAAACAATGATAATGTTCTACTTTTTAAATTATAATGTATTGGGTTGGAAAAAAAGACCTTTCGGTTTTTCAAAATGAACTAAAACTCAATGTATTATATACATAAAAGTTATTTTAATCTACCATATAATGACCATTATTTAATATGACTTTTTCCCATCTTTCCATAACTGCATATTGCCATGTTCATAGAATGTTTGGAGTTTATTGTTAAAAAACTGATCCCAATGGTTTTTGATGTCCTCTTCATTTTGGTATTTCTTTCGATTCATGGAGTTCTGCAGAGACCGGAATAAGTGGTAGGCACTTAGAGCTAGGTTTCATGAATACGGAGGGTGGGGCTAAAGGTCCCATCCAAGGCTCAATAATTTATTGCGAGTGGCCAATGAGGTGTGGGCCAAGCGCTGTCTTGGTGGAACACAATACCCTTCCGATTTGCCAGTTTGGGCATTTATTTCTAATCGATTGATCCAATTTTGTTAATTGTGAACAGTATAGAATTGAATCAATTGTTTGCCCTGCTGGCGTTAGCTCAAAGAAAATAACACCCTTGAAATCCCACCATATGGAAAGCATTATCTTTTTTGGATGCAGTCCGCGTTTGGACATTCTTCAAGGAGCCTAACTAGGTCCCCAAGATTTTCTACGGACTACAATATCGTAAATATCCATTTTTCATCTCCGGCTACCAACCTTTACAAAAATGGGTCGTTTTGTTCCTGTTTCCGTAATGAATCACAATCAGAAATGCGTGTTGCCAAGTTGACGTCGTTTAGAGAGTGAGGGACCCAGACATTAAACCTGGAAACATAGCCGAGATTGTGCAAATGATTTTCTACGCTTGTGTGCGACACATTTAGGGCCATAGCTATCTCTCGCACTAATTGGGTGGGATTTTGATCAACAATGGCCTTGACATTGCTCGTTTCAATTTCATGTGGTTGAGAAGACCGTTGAGTATCATAGATGTAAAAATTTCTGAATGAAATTTGGCATACCAATTTCGTCAGGTGCGTTCGGTTAAGGCATTATCCCCATAAACATTACAAATTTGTCTAAGAGCATACGCAGCACGCTTACCTTTTTTAAAATAATACAAAAAAATATGCCGATAATGAATGATATTTTCTTCCATATTCACAGCACAATAGCAAATAAAATACTAAGCTAGTTTCAACAGGAGCTAACAGATATAATTGTTGACATATTACAAACAGGATAAACAATCCACCTTAGGGATTAATTCATTAGACAAGAACTATATCATAGTTACATAAAAAAACTAAACAGAAAAGACTTATTTGCCAACCTAATATATACAGTTACTAAACATGAAAAGAAATATAAAAAAATATCTCTAAAAGTATTATTGTTCGTGTAATTATATTTTAATAGGTTTCCAAGAATCACATAAACTGTATTTCATATAGGTAGTTAGTTTCTTTCTTTTCCTTCCCAAGTTTTTTTTTTAAATTTTATTTATAATATTTACAACTGTATTAATATAAATGCATCAAGTAAATGTGTACACAGAAATATCATCACATGAAAAAGCTTGTTGAGAAACTACCCACTGGTAGCACTCTAATAATATGTCTACAAAAGTTTTTTTTTTAAATTTTATTTATAATATTTACAACTGTATTAATATAAATGCATCAAGTAAATGTGTACACAGAAATATCATCACATGAAAAAGCTTGTTGAGAAACTACCCACTGGTAGCACTCTAATAATATGTCTACAAAAGAAGATCCCGCGGCCATCTTCTTTTCAGACGCCTCGCAGGATTATCAGGAATTGAAGAGGAAGCATGGTTAGAAACAAGAGGACTGGGATGGTTATGAAGTTTATTATGGAAGGATGGGTATCTGGATTGGGCCAAATCGGAAACAGGTGTGTTTAATGAAATATCTGAGAAGAGTAGCTGGCCGAACTAGAAGAAATTGCATCCGAAACTAACGTATTAGAGAAAAGGTTAAGGTGTCACTAATGCTGGAAACCGTGGAAAAGAAAACGCTTAAATAGTTCGGTCATTTTATGACGATGGAAGAGGACAGGAAACCCAGAAAATTTCTTGAGGCAAGACCAATAGAAAAAAAGGTCAAGAGGGCGTCCACGGAAAACTTGGATTGACGAAATAACTAAGCTCGGACAGAGAAGAGGAGAACAGTTGGGTTATATGAGGGACCTGGCGAGAGACCGTGAATGGGCGTAAATGGGTCGAGGGCTGGAGTCTCCACGCTGAAAGGCACTAAGGAGGAAGACAAAGAAGAAGAAGAAGGAGAAGTATAATGATCAATCCATTTATAAACTTAAACAAAACAAAAACATATATATGCAATAAGGGTACTTGTGAGCGACGCGGGCTCTATGGACTGCTATCTGCCAATGTTTATAACCTGAACCTGAAGTATTAGAGAATCATATTAGAGGAGAATGCTATTTTCAATAGGACTGATTGAAGTTACAAATGGTCTATTGATTCTATTATTGCTATTGACTGCCAACACAAGTTTACTTATGTAATAGTAACTGAATGTTATGACTTACCTGTTGTTTCTTTATGGTTTGGGGGTGTAGCCGTCCTCTGTAGGTCTCTTCTTCTCCAACCTGCTCCAGACTCTGTCCTAGCCTCTATTACTCTCTCAGACTCCTTCTTCAACTGTGTCTCTTCCCAGACTCTCAGTTGACTGCCTCACCTCTCCTGCCTCACCTCTCCTGCATCACCTCTCCAAGGGTCTTGTCCCAAACTTTGTAGTCCATCCTTAACTTTATGACATTTATTAGACGGCAGTGTACAACACAGCCCGCGGACAGGCAAAGATCCGAAACATACGTTGCGGAAAAAAAAATGTGGCTGTTCTACATCACTTCAAATAGAATGAGCCCATAAAAGAGTCTAGACCTAAATTCCATCACTAGCGGATCCAGGATTTAATTTTGGGGGGGGGCTTCAGCCCGAAACCTTTTTTTTCTCATAAAAATAACGATAATTACTTTGGAAAAACAGAAAGAAACTAACTACCTATATGAAATGGTGTTTAAGTTATTCCTTAAGTACTTTTAAACGTAATAACACGAACAATAATACTTTAAGAGGTATTTTTTAAATTTTTTTTCCCATAAAACATGGTTATATTTTTCCATTTTGGGGGGGGCTTCAGCCCGAAAGCCCCTCCCCCCGTAGATCCGCCCGTGAATTCCATTGAACATTCATGGGACCAGTTCTGGGAACAACTTTAAAAAAGACATGTTTTGGACGTTAAAATCAGCGATTCAAAAATGTTGGTATCCTTTATTTCCAGATATCACAAAACAATTAGCAGAAAGTGAGTCCAGTTGGCTTGTTTTAGAGAACTAATTAAATTGATTCCTTCTTACATTTATTTCTAGAAATTTCAGCCTACTTATTTGAAATCATTAATTTCTTAAATAATTTTTTTTTTCACTAGGAAGCAGTTTTCTTTTAGTTATATCACAATTACTGAAAAAAGATTGAAAATTCTATCTATTTCTAATTAGCCGCCATTTTTTATTCTGGCGGATTCATGTCTGCTGACCTCTTTTTATTTGTTCTGAATTGATTTTAGTTTACATATTTTATTCATTCATGTTGATTAATGATTATTGATTTTGATTTTGTTCTTTGAAATATTAGGGTGAGGGGGGAGGGCGAAATGATATCCTCGCTCCCTCTCTATTTTTATTTGGAGGCAAATTGCCCTCTCACCACTCCCCTCTCGAAGTCAGTGGCTATATTGGAATCTTTGTATCTCTTTTTTTCAACAACTTTCTTCCATTTACCTTTCCCTTCCTTATTTGTTTTATTTATTTTTAGCGTTGATTGATGATATCAGGGCCGGAAAGAGAGAGGCAAAGAGTGGAACTGCCCTGGGTGATACAATTTATATGGCAGCATATTTCGACAATTTTTGTTTTGGATTTTTAAAACAGATTTCTTTATAATTTTTGGTTGTTTTGACCACAACTAGTCAGTGGCACGCGTATATATATATATATATATATATACATATATTGTATATCATTTTATTTCGAAATACATTACCATAAAGACTCATTATGGGAGAGGAAACTCAGGCTTGGCCCAAAATCCATGTTCTGGCCCAGATTAATGTTTTCGTACGACTTGAGTTTGGATTACTACGATTTAACTGAATCTCATGTTATTTTAATTGACTAGTAGTGTCCGCTTAAAAAAAACACTGCAATGCACTCTATTGGGGAATTATACAAACTAGTGACGGAGTGATCAGCTGTTCTGAAGGAATACCACCGAAGGTGACGTCATCAGAAGGATATCGGAATATATTGTGGAACGCCATTTTCTCCCTCGAACCTAGTGACTTTGTGTTTATTATTTTTCCAAACAAGGTGATGATTTGACAAATGCATTTTTATTTACATTTCTAAGCGTATGATCTCAGTTTATCTCTTTGTAATTTATATCATGTTTAAGGATCTTTAACATGATGCTTGTTTTAATGACGTATTATGTATTTTACTTATTTCTTTTGGTTTTGTGACATTAAATATTTTCGTTTTCGTTGATCCCTACTCTTGTTTGTTATTATTTAAGTTTTTATTTAGATTTTGAAAGGTTATTTCTAATTCATTTATTAAATAGGTATTTGATTGTCTTGTTTTGACACACAAAGGTATAGTTTCTTTTGTCTACTTTCGACGTATTAACTTCCACTAAGGTTATTTTAGTGTTATTTTATCATTTTTATTTTACTTATATCACGCCACTTTTATCAATTAACATTGAATGATTATTTCCAATTTATCCATTAAATTTGAATTATGTTATAATAAGACAATAACACAGTAGTGTATTTTTTATTGTCTTTGGAGATTCTTATGAAAGAGGTATTAACTTCCAAGATTATTATAGTTCCATTCAATGCTGTATTTTACTTACTTTATACCACTATTATAAAATAAAACAGGTGAATTAGTTACAAACATTTCATTCTAAACCTCAACATTGTTTTTTTACTGTATTACAATACAAATCATTCTGAACAGTTGCTGTGTTCTTTAAAATTTTTTTTATGAACTCTTTGCATGAACATTGTCTTATTCTTTCAATGTTTTAATTTTCAATAAATTTCGCTAACTAGCAGTTGAATCAATATCAGTTGTAAGATTTCAGGTTTCATTTTAATCTGCTTATTTCATACATTATATAAATACAGTTTTTATCTATTTTAAATGTTATATAAATGTTTTGAGTTACTTGTAACTTAATTAATTCATAAGTTGTTTCATTTTTAGCTTAAACATGACATCAAGGAAGAAAGTTCTTTTGAAAGTAATCATCCTTGGTGATTCTGGAGTTGGCAAAACTTCACTTATGAACCAATATGTTAATAAGAAATTTTCTAACCAGTATAAGGCTACGATTGGTGCAGATTTCCTAACAAAAGAAGTGCTAGTTGATGATAGAGTTGTAACCATGCAGGCAAGTAAACTTCGTATCATTTATTTGGTATCTTAAAATTTATTCCCTGTTTTATCATTTTCAGTGTTTGTCATTCTAAGTAAATGTGTGCCGTAGTCATTGAATAATGTTTTATGTAAAGTTTTGTTTTCTATGTATGAACATTATTTTTGTTGAAATGAATATTTTAAATTTGTTGTGTGTGACGATGTTATGTAATATTATATCTACATACATAATGAATAATTCGTATATTTACTTGTCTAGCATAGCTTTACTCGACTAGAATATTGAGCATTATTATTTCCTTCTAGAAGTTTTGATAAAACTCCATTTTAACAATATTAACTAGATGTTATTCGACTTGCATATATTAATTGCTAAACCTTTTTATTAATGTTTCAATGGGTCAAGGTTATTAGTGGTGGTCTGCCTTGTATAATCTATAATTTCTGGTGTTTTGTAAAAAGTATATATAAACAGTAATATATATTTCGTAGGATTTATTAGTTTCTTGATTTGTTGTTTATGGAAAATATATTTGAAGGAAGACAAATTACAATTCATCAATTGAACATTATGTAGTTTTATGAACTACTGAAGTAGTCATAATATCAAGATTGATTTTTTTAAAACTTTTTATATTAAGATTCGTAACATTAAGAATTTTAGGTGATCCTTTTTAATATTATTTAGTGTATCACTCTTTTTATGACTCAGGCTTTGATGGAATTGATGAGTCACCTAAAATCAACATTTACATATACAAATGCAATAAATCAATTCTTTTAATTGAATTGTTGTGTTAACATCACCATAAATATGCTTTAACAGCAAATTAAAGTATCCTAATACTTACAATCTAATTTTTAAAAATTAATAATTACTATTAAATTTGTTAAAACTCATTCATTTCTAATGTTGATAAATTTGGGAGAAATTATAGTAATAGTGTTGTTTCCTTGTTTTAAACTTTCATCTTTCCACCAGAATACATTTTAATCATTAAGAAATTCAATATTTAATCTAAAATAATAAGTAGAATTATTTTGGCATAAACCAACAACTGCAGTTTTTTTTTTAAATTTATGTTACAGCTTTTACTTAAAAAAAATATTGCTTATGATATTTAAATAAAATATTTTAGTTATGTACTTTAAAGTCAAGATGCCCAAATTATTTTAGGTTGCACACTCATCAAGTATACTATATATTAATTTAAATAGTGTTGGTTATAAAATAAATCATATTAATGTTGGGATTAGAACAACCAATTAATTACATAATTCACAGTTCACAGTTTTCAGTTTTTTTTTTTTTTTTTTCCATACAGCTCAGCTGGTTATTTGTCCTTGATTCACACTATCTTTCACTACACACTACTCATTGTCTGTATTAAGACAGAACATTTACCTTTGTGGTGAATTAGTCTTTAAATTAAAAACATTCATGATTTCTAATATTAGCATTTGAAGTAATAGAGTCAAAGTTATACTTATATTTTAAACTTTTATCTTACATTCATTAAGAAAATGAATAGTTAATGGTAAAGGGCCCAACACAGTAGCAAACTTTATGTAAATAATCTTACACTAACTAAAACTTATAGTTAAGTAGAGCTAAAACTTATATATTAGAAAACAAACCAACTTCCTCTACATGGAGAACTAATGTTTTAACTGTCAGAGAGGAACTGAATAAGTCTTCTGCCTACTTCTAGATCCCAGGAAAGATAAGTGGCCTTTCTTCCACTTATAAAGATATATTTTTGGGAACTAAACCTATTCCATATCAATATTTAATTCAGATTGTATCACATGGAATTTTTCGTTAGGAATATTTGCAGTCTTTGTAATTAGGATTACAAATATTTCTTCAAACACTGTATACCTACTCATAGAACTTCTTACATCACCAATAACCATTAATTTGCAAGTGAATTTTCTTTAATAAATAATACAAGTTGATTTAAGTACAAAGTGACTTCTAAATAATTTTTATAAAATTCGATTTCAGATAAATTTTATTTTATTACTAGCTATACCTGCACGTTACTGGTTAAATAAAAAAAAGAATCAGAAAAGAAATCAGCTGTTTCTAATATATTTTATGTAACATTACTTGTGAATATGTGTTATTCTTTGTTGTTCCATTCTTTGTATAGATATAGAGATTGTCTGGTTTTCCAACTCTAGACTAATTGTCTATATAAGAAGCAATCGGTTTCTAAATTTCCCAAGAAAAATTACTAAATGTTTAAAACATATCCTGCACCAAGTCGTCCGATTTTAGAGATTTTTTTTATTATTTGCAGTGAATCAAGGAAGCATTTGAAATAATGATGGATATAATCAACCAAATATTATGTACTTTTTGAGTTACTCACAAATATAGTTTTGAACCCATCGTAATTTTTTTTTCATACTCCTTTCGGAGAAGGATAATATATACAAAAATTAAAAGGGCTTCAAGGAGAAGATTTTAGCCAAGTTTAATTAAAATTGTTACAGTTTATAGCGACACAGGTTTTTGGGCCATCCTTCCAAAACGAAAGACTGGAGGATGATTAAATGTATATAAAAACACTTCTGATTGCGATAGAAACATAATGTCAATATTTCAAAGCAATCGATGAAGCAGTTTCGGAGATTAGCGAATTTGAACAAACAAACATTTATATTTTTATTATTATAGATAAAGGAATAGATAGGTGATGGATCGCCATTGAAACCGATTGACTCTCTATTAGAATCTTTTTACCTACTTTTCACTAAATAACTCTTAGCGATTCTCCTGATTCAATGTTCCTATGACCATTGGAAAGCTGAATTATTGCTCTTTAAGCCCATATAAATAACTTTTATATTTAAGGCACTCATGAGGAATAAATAATGAAAAACTCCAAAGAGGTTTTTATTTTTTATCTCCAAACCTAATTTATATACGGACCTCTAGTTTGTGCTATTTCGTGTATATTATAGGGGCCTAAATGCCTGCCAATTTTCTTGTAGATAAGTAGAGCCCTCTCAAAGTTAGACAATTTTTTGATTTAAAAAGAAGATTTAATACGTTAAAGAAAATTTGAGGTAAAAATTATTTATTTTTCTATTGCAATGAAAATTTGTATTTAAGGTCTTGTTGAGATGCGAAATAAGAATCTCAACTCCGTTCCTCATTAAAAAAATATTTGAACCGACTTTACTCCTTTGGCCATTACAAATTGTTTTAATTTTGATAACAAATTCTTTCCGATGTTTTTTTTTTTTTTTTATCAGTTTGTAGAAAATTAAGGGAACTTTCAAACAATGATGTGTGTAATCAAACTAAAATTGTGCACTCTTTGAGTTATTCGCAAATATAGTTTTGAACCCATCGTACCTTTTTTTCATACTCTTTTCGGGGAAGGATCTTATATACATAAATTAAAAGGGATTCAAGGAGAAGACTAGCCAAGTTTAATTAAAATCGTTACAGCTGTTTGGCGTTACAGTCTATAGCGACAGGTTTTTCGGCTGCCTTTCTGAAACGAAAAAGATCGGAGTGTGATTAAATGTATATAAAAACACTCCTGAATGCGATAGAAACATTATGCCAGTATTTCAAAGCAATCGGAGATTAGAGGTTTTGAACAAACGATCATTTATGTTTTTATTAATTTAGATTTCTGAGTTTATAATTCAAGCAACCATTTATTTATAAAAATAATCTAATAAACAAGTTAACTTTTTTTTATAAGGTCCCAGCTAATATTTAACAAGTCGTATCGAATTGAATTTTTGTATTTAATTGATAATAGTTTTTTTTAAACAATATAGCACTTCATCTATTTTCAATCGTCAGATGGTAGTCAAATTTGTCCTCTTAATTATTATGTTATTTGAGTATTTATGTATGTAAGTATAGTTATTTGAGTATACCTATACATATTATAGTATATACACCTCTAAATCAGTGTACTAATAAAAAAAGATATAACTTGTTGACCGATTGCTATCACTCAGCCAAAATGATCTTTATCAGCTCTTCGTCTCTTATGTATATTTGTTTAGTAGTTTCAATTTATTTATGTTAGTTTGTATTGTTTTTTAGATATGGGACACAGCTGGACAGGAAAGGTTTCAGTCATTAGGAGTTGCATTTTATCGAGGTGCAGATTGTTGTGTTCTTGTATTTGATGTTTCTGCACCCACAACTTTTAAGTCACTTGACTCTTGGCGCGATGAATTTCTCATACAAGCATCTCCTAGAGATCCTGAGAATTTCCCATTTGTTCTACTTGGAAACAAAGTTGATCTGGAGAATAGAGCAGTAAGAAATCATTTTAATTATAACTATACTTCACCAATTTCTAACTTTTTAACTTATGATTTATATATATATATCTTTTTTTAAACTTCTTATGACATGTTATTATTGAAATACCAAATAAGTTACTCTTTATTGTCTAGTCTAACTTAAAAAAGTTTTAACTCATGTTATAATCACATGATTACATGGCAAAATTTGAAAAACTGTTTAGAAATACGAAATTAACAAATTACTCACACACCAGATCATTGTATGTTTTTTTTTTTTCTCTTAAAAAGCTGTTTTCACAGCTAAGGTGTCATTTATAGAAAAATATTTTTTTTCACCACAAGCCATGGCCCACAGAACTTGGGTGAAGGTCTCAATCGAGCCGCGGGACTTAGTCGAGATCTCAATGTGGTCTGCAGGCTAAAAATTTTGGGAACTCCCATTTTACACTAACAAAGTTTTTTAAGAATATAGTAACTTTTTACACTATTTTAAGAGAATTTCATTACATCAGCGTAAATAATATTTTTATTTTTTTCTCTATTGTAAAATTTGAAATTATTGCACTTCGGAAACTCTATTTTTTGAAATGATGCTTGTATGCACCTCCAGATAAGGATTCAAAAGTAAAAAAAAAATACACTAATCTAAATATTTGTAATTTTTATTTTTAGATGATTTTCAAGATAAATTAAAAAGTATAAATTTTTGTGCAGTATTTATGGGAAGCTATTATAGCTCAATTTCATAATTTTGTTGATTAATTGACATTTATGGGTACTGTTACATTCCCGTGGGATTTAGATTGAAGTAAATGTTAAATCTAACTCAACAAATTTTTTTTTAATTACATGGGCAGTTTCTGAAGGACATTACTAAATAATAATTCTTCAGCTTTATACATTATTATAGATATAAGGAAAAGTATAATTTTCATAGAATAAATATAATGAAAACTATAACATATTCATTAATTTCTATAACAAATTATCTTTTTAAATAAACATTTACTAGAGACATGTACAATCAACTGTCTTTGTCTAGGTTTCTGCGAAAAGAGCGCAGCATTGGTGTCAGTCTAAGAATAATATTCCTTACTATGAAACCAGTGCAAAAGAGGCTATAAATGTGGAACAAGCATTTTTAACTATTGCTAAAAATGCCCTTGCTCAAGAATCAGAAGCCAACCTATACAATGAGTTCCCCGACCAAATAAAGCTAACTGGAGACCCAAAAGTCCAAACACCAGATCAATGCGCTTGTTAGGTAAGATATCTGAAAAAAAAAGAAAGAAATTGATTCATTTTCAATATATTTTTGTGTCTTATATTTAGTCTTATTAAGGATATTGGTTAATTTTTTTCTTACTATTCTAAAGTTTAATAAAGTAGTAATGGTTCTGGATTGTTCAATTTCTTTTTATATTTTACGTATTTCTGCCGTAGTGTAGAAATATGAATTTTAGATGTCTTCTTCTACTTGTATTTCAAAATGCATCAAAAATATATTTTTGTTAAATTTGTAAATTATTGCCTTTCGGGAACCCTATTTTTGAAATGATGCTTGTATGCACTCTCAAGAAGATAATTATTCAAAAGTAAGGAAAAAAAAGCTAACCTAAATGTTTGTCATTTTTATTTGGTTTTCAAGATAAATTTAAGAGAAGTACAAAATTGATTTTTGTGTTATTTTTTGAAGCAATCTAGATCATTTTGCACTTGTTGTATTTGTAAATTGTATGAGTTTTACAAAACTTATCATTGTCGTTGAGATATTTATTTTAAAACATAACATGGATAACATGTCACCAACAAAAAACAAATCAAATATTTGGATCTTTTTGTTTTTTTCTTTTCCAAATTCTGCTTTCTCAGCTCAAAGAGTATTTCACTAATTCTATCTTTATTTTATTTTGTATGTTTGTTGGATCATATCACTGTTACCAAATTCATCATGACATGATACTCCTAGTGAAAAGTGTCAGTTTTTTTTTTTCATATATATATAGTATATATACACTTCTTTTTTGTTTTTATCAATACATTGTTTTTATGATACTCTTAAAAATTAGTTATAGTTAATTTTGTTTAGTTACAACTATTGAATTCATTTATTAATGTAGAAAAGTGAATCAAGTTTTAACATTTTTGATTCAAAATATAATTATTGAATTATATGTATACTACCTGGCACGTGGGTATAATTTGCATAAAATATTAGTTAGAGAAAAACTGATAAAATAGTATGGAAATATGCTATGTAATATGAGTTGTAAGAATTCATTTTCCTTTTCTTAGTCGAATTAAAATAGTTAATTTATAAAAATAAACCAAAACATTTGTATATATTACTGTAGTTTATATCTTTGCTCATAACGGTCTAATTTCAATACTTTTATAAATTAAGTTTGTTTTTATTTTTAACGTTTTTTTCTGAGATGTTAAAGGTTATGTTTAGACAATTTTTAAAATATTGGTCCGATAATTGGAACTAACGAAGACATGTCGAAATAAAACACCAGTGAGAAAAATAATATAGTATATTTTATTACTTACGGGTTAGTTTAGCTCTTACCTGATGTATATATACATATATCATTTTATATATTGTGTAATATATATATATTACACAATATATTAAAAAAAGTAAATTTTAAGATAGAAAACATTAACGTTTACAAAAGAAATTGTTATATAGTTGTGTTTTTTTAATAAATAAATACTATTGGTTGCCATTTTCGAGTTGTTTTTCAAAATATCAGCAATATTATTTTCCAACTCCACTTCTTTCCAATGTTCTTTACTGGCACAACGCTCAGTCTAGGTGTGCATCACTGTGATATTTACCATGCAGAAAAGAAATTCAAGGGATGATGCCCCCTTTTTCAAAAGGTGTCCATGCGTTATTCTTGAGTTTCCGATTCGTAGTTTTGCTAGGCTGATGTCTTTTATTCTTTTCAACTGCAGGTGCACTCGATTTATAATTAGAGAGGGCTGGAATTTGTAATTTTATTATTAATCAGAATCCATGACATTGGCATGAAGATTTCCTATCGTAGGTATAAGGTTGAGTTCAATTGCTAACTAGAAAACTGTACATTTTGGGGCTTTAAGAGACAATTACTTTATCTTAAAAATTGTCAGAGTTATTCTATAATACATAAAAATCAGAAATTATAAAAGTAGTTTTCGAAAACCATACTTGTAAAAATGATAATTAATATTTTATAATCCTTCTTTAAAAACAATATTAGAACCAATTATACATTAATTCCAAAAGGCTGTATCTTCGTAAATAATGGTCCAATTTTCCTGTTTTTTTTTTATTTCATTTTAGGGAATTTAGTAAATTTTCAAATAATGGGTATAATCAAGAAAAAACGTATACTTTTTAAGTAATTCGTAAATAAATTTTCTTTTCACTCAACTGTTTTTCCTGAAATTTCGGGTGGAGTTACTATGATTCGTCACTGCTCCATTTAATACCCTTTCGTTGGTACCTCATTCATTAAAATTCATCGCTCCTGAGAGTCAGAAAAGAGATCGTTACGGCAAAAAACTGTCATATTATAAAGATAGATGTTTTTTTAAGAAAAATTGGGAAAAGTGAAATATATCTTTTTCAAAATGACAGATTGCTTTTTGTAATTCACTGATAAGTATGTAATAAAGGTTTTTTTTTGTTTGTTATTACATTTTGCATCTACCTGAGCGGGACATTGGTGGTGTGTATAAAGTGATGCTCATGATTTTTTGTGATTCACTGACGAGTATTTTCGGGAAAAAAAAGAAATGGTAAAAGCACAATTTGTTCTTGAATAGTGTTTTTTTTTCTACAACTGTTGCTTAAAGTTTTACTCATCCATGAAATAGTTTTTGAAATGATGTTATTGCCTTAATACGGTGGATTCTATATACTTTTTTCTGAGTTAAAAAGAATATAGGTTTAGTTAAGAAATTTAATATAATTTTCTTGAAAACATGTAATTATCTGATTAGGCTTAGCTAATTCGAAGGCTCGATGCTGGCATCACTGTTCACTGTGTAAACATCTTTCTCAACCAGTCGCAGCCCAATCCATTCCCTCCTGATCAGCCTTAACTCAATCTTCCCACCTTAGCTTCGGTCTATCCCTCAGACATTTACCTGTTGGCACAACAAATATTAATCGTTTAGGGATTCTTTTCTTACCAAGTCCAACAATTTTATAGGCTCATTTTAATCACCTCAATGTATCACCTCAATTATATTAATCTGATACTATGTACCAGTCTCTGTGGTGCTATAACCCTGATTGGGTTGTAATATATGGGTGGGTCTTGGACTTCTCAATGAACCTCCGCCATTCTACTTATGATAGAATGCTGCTGCCTTACAGTAGATATTTTAATTTTCAACCTGCATCTCAGGTATTTTGTCAAGTAGAATCTATGTTTTATATATGTACATACAAATGTTATGTGAGTTATCTAATATTCGATTATTAAACCGTTTTAAAAGTTTTGGAGTGGAGTATCATTTACTTAAATCATCAAATTTTCTGAAATCAGTTAAGTGGTATTGAAACATAAATGACCTAATTCCCTGAAAAATTGTTATTAACCATAAAAGTAATTGTGATGGTTTTTAGTATGACAAGGATAAATAATTTATTTTTTTCTGAAACCTTCATGTTCAATATATATGTTTTTAAAAATGTTTGTGTGTTTGAATTATCAATAAACATTGGAAACTTTTCTTTTCAGTTGAAGAATATTTTCTGTGATTTCATCTTTTGTGCTTTTGATGGAGCACATTGCATCTACTCAGCTCCGCATTACCGGTTTTTAATTGGGGGGGGTCTCAGGGTAACAAATCTAATGATACGTTAATATATTTATATATATATATGTTTGCATATATATAAACTGAAATATACATTATTTATATATAGACATATAAAATATAGAAATAATTATACATAAACCTATCAAATACTGGAATAATGTATTTACTGTTCTTTTGCAGTAAATATAATTTTTTATCTATGTAATATTAGATTTATGATGTCTGTTGTCTTATTTTGTAAATACATGATTTTGTGATAAAACATACAAATTATATGAAGTGCACCTTCAAACTGTATAGTCATGACAGAATACTTAATTTTTGAGATTTGTAAATTATATGTTTGTATTTAAATCAGTTCACCCACTGTAGTCAGTAATTAATGTTCATTATTTATGATGCACTTTTTATCAATCTATGTACTTTTTAATTAAAACCTACTGCAGGCAGTACTTTCAAAAGTTTCATTTTCAGTTTGACTTTATTTATTTAGTTTATTTCCCTAATATATATAGTTATAATGTATGATATGTATGTATATTAGATTAATAATATTGCATTTTATGTGGTTTATTGAAGGTCTGCTTACTTTAGGCATATTGTATTCAACTAATGTTTTCCAAGTTATTTGTTTTGTAAATCAGCTTGATAGGTACTGGCAATCTAAACTTTTTAAATTCTTGTTTTCCATATATTATGACAGAACTATAGCTTGATGTATTTAATTTTATTCTTAATCATACATCAAGTAGAATTACCACTGAATATAGAATTATACATTTTATATAACTGTTTTAAGAGTTTTAATAATTTTTTTGCCAATAATATAGATATGAGTTAACACAAATTTTTTGTCAATCAGAGTAGTATAAAATTATGCTGTTTGTATAGTATGACATGTCAAATATAGTTTATATGCAATTATAATAAAATGTATTAAATAATATGAATGTATAGCTCCTTCAAGAAGGTGGTTTTTGTAACGCATTTGAAGAAGATTGCTTTGTGTATAGCAGTTCAGTTCACTTTGTCATCGAATAAATAGATTGAATATTATTATATTTATATTATTTTGCCTTTTACATTTTATTTCGAACACCATAATATAATTGTTAAATTAGCTGATTAATTTCATCTTCTCATAATTAAAATATTTTATATTTCACATTAATTGTTGATGATGATGATAGCAAACAAAATGAAACTAAAATTTAGCATTATTTATTGTTAGCTAATATTTGGATCTATGTTGGGGGTATTTAAACATAGTTATAAAAAATACTTAAGAAGAAGAATGTACACTTACTGATAGATGTAAATATGCTTATAGTATATTTGGTAAAATACATATGACTAAATTCGGGTTTTAAAAAGTTTTTTCCTTTACCATCTCTTCTGTTAATAGTTTGTATATATATTACACCTGGTTTCCCCCTTAAATTAAGATTACCCATTTTATAGAGACTGGATGTATCCCTAGAACAGTTTTCTAACCCGAGTAATCCTAAAAATAAAAAGTGTCTCAACCGGAAATTCGGGAGTGTAGGAGTAGGAGTAAATCATTGATTTACTGAGCCTATTCTCTTACACATCTCATCATCATAGTCATAGTCATATTCCTCTTTACCGCCTATGCAGTGTGAGGTTCCACATCTGCTTACTGATTACTGATATATTAACTTGTATAACATAAAAAGTAATGATATATAATTACTGAAATTTCACGTTTTTTATAAAATCTCTCAAGCAATTATATCATATTATTTCACGACACTACAACCCAGTTACAGGTCTTGGCCCCCTCCGACCGTTTCTTCCAATAATCATCAACTGTTTCTTCCAATCATCATGAACCGTTTTAAGTGATTATATATTATAGAAAAAAAATCATTCTTTGTATATTCATTCCTAGATGTTTTGTGAGATAAAAAACGAACACAAATGAAGACCGTAATGGATTTAAGAAACTAAAATGTGATTTGTTATAAACAATATATAAGGAAAAAAACTTGTGCTGAAAGTAATTAGTAATAAAATAAAATTATATTATTTGCTTCCAACCCAACATGCAGTGATTATCACTTCGGTTAATTTGCAGATTTTAATTTGGAAAAAAATTATGCCAATCCTTGATTCCTAACTATAGGACGGTTGGTTGAAGGAGAATTTCAGGCAGTGAGAAATTGTAAATAATCAAATTTTAGTTTAGACAAGACAAATATTTGAAAAATTAACACATAAAAAGTATCTATAGTATAAACTTAGATTAAACTCTTTGTAGGTATAAAAAAGTTGTTAATTATAAAAAAATGTTTTATTTTTTTCAAGCATTTTCCAATAAATGGTGAAAAATCTTATTATCAGGGGTTGGTTTCAGATTTTTCCTAAGGACTAAATAGTTTTTAGTGGGATTTTAAATGATCAGTTTATTATTAGCAGATTAAGACTTATCAATAAAATAATCACATTGTTTATTGAAGTTCTGCTTACTTTAACGCCTGGAATTCTCAACAATATGCCATTGTTGAGAATTGCAGGCGTTGTGAATTCAGTGTAAATAATCAAATTTTAGTTCAGTAATGACAAATATTTGAAAGATTAAGAGATAAAAAGTATCTATCGTATTAACGCTCTATAAATTTTGATTCAACTCTTTATAGATATAAAAAACTAGTTTTATTTTTTTCAAGCTTTTCCAATAATTGGCGAAAAACCTGATCAGGAGGCGTTTTCAGATTTTTCATAAGAGCTAAATAGTTTTTAGTGGGATTTTAGATGATCAGTTTGTTATTATCAGGTTAGAATTTACTAATAAAATAATTAAGTAGTTCATTTAATTCACAATATAGTTATGAATGATATTAGGTGTTAGAAAAAAAAAAAACTTTTCTTAAATAAATGTTCTCTTATTAATTTCTTATTTATTTTTCTATCCATGTATTCTTATTTGTATGCATGTATTTGTTTATTTTCCATTCTTAAGTTGTATAACTAAAAGATATTTTTCAAGGTATTGCGGAAAAGTAGTTTTTAATGGAACTGAATATATGAAAAATTAAAAACGTTGCTCAATGACTATATTTTTCCTATCTTCTATTTCAATAGCAATGAATTTATAGTTAGTATTGACAAGTGTCTGAAGAACCACAGAAGAATGAAGGCCTGTGCAGAAACTGAAGGCCTGTGCCCTTAAACAATAATCGAGTTGATGCGTATCTGAAATAAATTAAGATTAAATTTAATGTTTACAAATTTGTAAGTGAGCTGAATAAAGGAAAACAGATTTTAAGGGAAAATGTTCGTGGTGATCAACAAACATTCTAGAAAAAATTAATTTTTCTTTTCTCTTTTTCACATCAGATTCATCGAAAAGGATGGAAGATCTTAGAACAATTTGCCATTGAATTGAAAAAGTTTGAATTGAAAACTGAAGTTTATGGTTAACAGAGCACCTTTGCGGAAACAAGGAATGATGAAAGTATATTTTTTTCAAGAAAAGGGATACTAATCAATGATTCAAAATATAACCATGATTTGATAAATTCATCTCTCTTAGAGAGAAAAAAAAATGAGTTTTTGTTAGAACAAGTTTTTTTTTTTTTTTTTTGTCACACGTGCAAATATATAAGCATTTACAATTGTTTCCGGAGTGAAGTTCAAAAATTGGTTGATGAGTTCAGTCCTGTATTTACAAGACTTTCAGTGTAAGAAATTACCAGAGTTCCATTTATGATGGTATCACATAGTGTGAATGGATATACCATTGAATTCACCCATGATAATCATAAATAATCAGAACATCGCACCATCATAAGCCATAGTATTTGGTGGTTATATTTCTTTTAGTTTTTATTTTAATTATGTTTCTTGGCTTGCCTTGTTCAGAGCTACAAATATGAGAATTGTAATAACATATTGTAGGAAATAATGTAAAATTAAAAAGGAAGATTAATATAATATAAGAAAGTTTTTTTCTTATTTCAAAAATGGGCAGTAATCAAAAAGTGATTGGACTAGAAGAAAGAAAGGAGAGTAAGGTACCCATTACCTTTTTATAAGAGGGCCAATTAACTTCCATTATTAATCATTGAGATTAACTAATTAATGGGAAACCTTAAACACTTCTTACAGTTAATTTATACGCCAGTCTAATTTCTATCTTGGAGCTCAATCATTTTTTTAATTTACCCTTTTTGTTACAAGGTCGAGATTTATTCAATCTCACCCTTCACCTTATTTACCATAATTATCCCATGGTTTCTTTATTTTTTTTTTTTTCTATTATATAGTTAATTCTAAGCTTATTATTACGTATTCTATTCATGGAGTTCTATAACTAAGAAAGATCAGATTCACCACAAAACATAAAAGATCCTGCCGAATCTGTATAGGCTGGACTTTAGTTCACTAATTATAATGAATGTAGGTCATATGTCTGAATGATAACAAAATTGAGTTTCAGACGAATTAATTTAGGTTTTATAAGTGGCGAATTGGACCACACTCTGGAACCCTCACACTAATATTTCATCATATAAATTCTAACACCTTCTTACTCAATTCTCACAACTTTAAAAGAAGCTGCTTAATTTCTTAGCTAAAGTTACAGCATAATTTCTTAGCTGAAGTTATAGCATAATGCCCATATCAGTTATAGCATATTTGAATCTTAAAAAGTATTGAGAGCCTAATTTTGACCTATGTATGGTTAACTGCCATTCGATCCCAAGTGAAAAGAGTTATCCAGTTGGTTACCTAACTGATTTCAGTCAAGAGTTATCCAGAGTTTGAATATACAGGACGTTTTTTCTCAATTGATACTGATTATTTATAGCCCGATATTGTTGGAGTAATGGATTTATATTTAAAAAGTTCGTATATCCCTGCCATGCCAATATCGTACACCTCAGAAACATGAGCTTAGTTGTTTCTTTTTTGCTTCATCACTACCGAAGATAGGGAAGCTTTGTATTCCTACGAGAAGTAAAAACAAATTTTATTTAGAATCGAAAATTTCCACTAGCGTTTTACGTTTCAGTAATCAAGGATCAAATTTGGTTCGGTATCTATCTCTGGTCAAATCGAAGGCTCGTGCCTGTTGGTACATAAATGACACCATACCATTGTCATCAAATTTTATCCAGTATTTCCACTTACGTTCGAGCGTAATGTATTTTCTTAGATATTCCAATATTTCAAAAACAGCTTGTTCAATTTGACTGAAAGTTAGGATAAAGGTCGATATAGGTTAAAAAAAATAATACTTTATCAATTTTATTGAATTTCATTTCCAACTTTCTTATTAATATGCGCAAACGTATTTTCCTTGATACAGCAATATCTCATAAACCACACTTTTGATTTGGCCCAAAGTTGGAGAAAAGTTAGGGATTGAAAAATAAATGATCTTGTAAGAATCAATTTCAACAAATAATTTCCACAACTGTCAAAAAATACTTCCACTTTCTAATCAGCAAATGTATCGTTTTTGATTCGCTTATAGTTTGGAAACGATATTTATATTTGAACCTGAGTTGGAGAACGGTATACTAATTGTCTAGTACCAATTCCATTAAATTTTATCAAACAATTAAAATTAGTATAAATAACCGCTCAGGATCCGGACTGATTGACAAATCCTATAAGGTTAATCGTGGACAATGAGAACTTACTTTTATCTAGGTTTAAGATTAAACTATAGTTGTTAACAATATTTAAAAATTTTTCTCCAAATTTTGATCATGTTTATGTTGATCCTTACCGCAGATGGTAACGTCGTCCAGAGAGAATCACTTTATTATCATAAAAGGGTGGTGCCCAATTACATTGGGTTGCTTTAAACACAGCATACTTATTAAACGCTACAGACAATTTTCCAAAACTAATATACAATTATATAGTATTAACAACATATATGAGCATAATATATAATTTTTTTTTTATCTATATATATTTTTTTTTTATCATAATTTTTTTTTCCTATATTTTTATTTATTTTTTTTATTAGGATAATTCCCAGGGAGTCAAGGATTATGTTCTCTGCCAACCTTGCCACGTCCTTTATGTCGACACCAAGGCCTCTCACGTGGAACTCTCTCGGCCCGAAACTCTCGCGGAACTTTTCGCTAAGGAAAGGGATGCATTTCTCATATGTCTGTTTTTTCTCCCTTTCCACTTTTCCTGCCTGATCGAGGTCGTTGGTCTCATATCTCACGGTCGGATCCAAAATCATCGCCGACTTTCCCGTCTTAGGGAATGCTACGATATCGGCATATCGGGTGGATCCATCCGTATCTATACAATATACTTCCTCGAAACAGGCGTAATCTCTCTCTATAAGGAGCCTCATCAGTTCATGTTTGACTCTGTGGTGACGGCGCGTTATAAGGAGGGAGTTGTTGGGGCATTTTCCAAGCACATGTGTTTCTGGCTCTCTGTCGCATTTGCGACAGAGGGACCCAACTTCTCTTACCTGTCCGCTGACACCTGGGACTCCACGCAGGGGTGCATAATTAATATTCAGTTTCAGGGCATTTGACCATTCAGACCCAGAAAGTACTTGCTTATCATACATGTATTTGTTGGCTTTCGGGGTCTCTTTAAAATGGCGAACTCCAATGCCCTGCCACCTGCAATTGGTCCATTTCTCAAACGAATTTTCTCGAAGCGACTGCCGTAGAGCTCTCATATTCCGAATACCCCGATCAACCCCCAATCTCTCGGCACATTCATCAACCTCAGCCGAATAATCAAAGATCGACTGAAAAAGGGCATCGGGCACATTGGACAGTCGCTGAGCAATGGACCAATGTTGTAGAGGAGCCTCCCATTGGCAGCGGATTAATCCTAATCCTCGATACCTCCTGGGAGAGTACAACATCGCCGTGGAGGTGTTCGCAGGGAGTCCAACTATAGCCTTCACACTCCTGCGAATCATGGTGTCGATGCCGTCAAGTATGGCAGGACGCAGCTTTGTGAGGGGCGCAGTTTGGAGAGGGTAAGTAAGACTCGGGAACAGATATTGGTTGACAATGTTTAGCTTCTGCTCCGGCTTCAGCAAGGGAGAGGTAACCAGTTTATTCAGATTTTCGTTCAATTTGGTCACCGAATCTTCGTTGAACTGTAGCTCTCCCGAGAATGTACATCCTAAATACTTGATTGTATCTCCATTCTGCAATGTTTGGATGTACTCTCCGTTCTGAAGGGAGAGCATCGCTGTTTCCAGCTCTCCTTTATTTAGAACGATGCCCACGCTTTTTTGAGGATTAATAGCCAAACCAATTTCCTCAAAAGTCCTCTGAACGCTGCCGATCACTCTTTCTGCAGCCCCCTTGTCACGCGCTGACACGGCCTGGTCATCCGCGAAACCTGTGAGGACCACACAACCTTGGTCACTTTTTAACTTGTATCTAAATTTTTTGGAAAATTCTTCATCGCACAGGTCGCGATAGAGATGATCGATGGCCAGGTTGAAGAGCGACGACGACATGGGGTCGCCTTGGGGTACCCCGCGCAGCACTTTGATTTGGCTAGTTGCGTGAACACAGTTACTAATTTTGATTGTGTTGGTGCAGAGGAGAGCCGATATAACACGTTTAAGATCCGGCGACACACCTCTTGCTTCCAAGGAGCTCACGATATGATTGTGGCCAACATTGTCAAAAGCACCGACAACGTCAAGGAATACCACCGCACAATCTTTTTTCATAATCTTTGCATCTTTCAATACAGCGTCGATAATCCTTGCGCTGACGTGCGTTCCCGGGAGGCCTTTTATAAAGCCTCTCTGATTCCTGTGGAAGGTGACCTGCTTTCTTAGTTCATGGTCCAGAACCTTCTCTATGATTCGGCGCACAATAGAATAAATGGTGATGGGCCTCCAGGAAGGGATTTTATTTACATCACCTTTC